GAACGATTCATTGCTTACATTAGTGTTTCACAAGATGATGTTACATTGTATGTTGTTGAACCTAGAAGTAGTATTGTTGGGTCAGTAGCGGGTAGTAATCAACTAAGTTTTTTCTCAAAACCCACAACCTTTCTCTAATCCAAATCCCAATCAACTTTCAGCACCAAATTCCGGTTTTCGTATTGACCAGTTAGACGATGATGAGCCAACAGAAAAAATTGTGAGTACTAGTCAGTATTCGAAATTTGGTCTTGGTCAATATCCGGACTTTGATATTGGTCAATACACGGATTTTGATGATGTTTCAGAAGAAGAAACAGACCCTGCGTGTAATGATTTTGATATTGGTCAATACCCGAATTTTGATGATGAACAGCCGTTGCCGAAGAATGTATTGTTGATGATAATGAGGAGGAAGTTACGACTGTGAATGAACATGTTGAACATCCATTCTGTAATTCATATAATCCTGAAGAAGAAAAAGAAGAAGAAAAAATCCCCGAAGAAAAGAAAATGCCACGGGCGTATAACTGGAATATGCCAGAATTACTTCAGATACCGGAAGAAGAGTTGGTAAAGAAAGCAGTTGATTGTTACACAAAAGTTATTCGTATCAAGAAAGATGATTGTTTTGATACAAAGGAAGACTTGAAGATAGCTTTGTATACGAAATGTGTGGAAGATGGCTATCAACTAAAAGTTAACAAATCAAGCAAAGATCGTTTCGAAACAAGGTGTATGATTGACAAAAACTGTATGTGGCGAATGATTGCAAAGAGAATAAAAGATTGCGAAATGTTTCAAGTTAGGACTTTTATTGATAAACATACATGTTCAAGAACCCAAGTTTTTCCTCACCATAGACAGGCAAACAAAATGCATCAGATAACAAAGAAAAATATGTTTCAAACTAATACCCTGAAGTTAGTATTTGTCTTTGTTTTGTCTATTGGTTGAAGTAATGCAATCCATTCAAGTTTCAATTTGCAGAAGAAGAAATAGTTTACTTTCGCAACACGAAACTTAAAATCGCAACGCGAAACCAAAATCGCAACGCGAAATGAAAATCGCAACGACAGAATCGCAATGCGAAATGAAAATCGCAACGAAAGAATCGCAACGCGAAATGAAAATCGCAATGCGATTTTGGTTTCGCGTTGCGATCTTTTCGTTGCGATTTTGGTTTCGCGTTGCGATTCAGTCGTTGCGATTTTCATTTCGCGTTGCGATTTTGGTTTCGCGTTGCGATTTTAAGTTTCGTGTTGCGAAAGTAAACTATTTCTTCTTCTGCAAATTGAAACTTGAATGGATTGCATTACTTCAACCAAAAGACAAAACAAAGACAAATACTATTTCACAGTGTTAAAGAATACACAGTTTAGCAGAATTGGCAGCAACCGAACAAATTTACTTTCAACCAAAAGACAAAACAAAGACAAATACTATTTCACAGTGTTAAAGAATACACAGTTTAGCAGAATTGGCAGCAACCGAACAAATTTACTTTCAACCAAAAGACAAAACAAAGACAAATACTATTTCACAGTGTTAAAGAATACACAGTTTAGCAGAATTGGCAGCAACCGAACAAATTTACTTTCAACCAAAAGACAAAACAAAGACAAATACTATTTCACAGTGTTAAAGAATACACAGTTAGCAGAATTGGCAGCAACCGAACAAATTTACTTTCAACCAAAAGACAAAACAAAGACAAATACTATTTCACAGTGTTAAAGAATACACAGTTTAGCAGAATTGGCAGCAACCGAATAAATTTACTAAGCAATCTAAGTGAAATGGCTAATCTAAGTGAAATTACGAGTAAATTTATCATTAAGTTAAATATGGAAAATCTTAAACTTACCTCGTTGCGTAGAGTATGAACCTCATTCTGCAACGATACTATCATCTCACGTAGAGCGGCAACCTCACCACGTAAAGTTGACACCTCCACACGCCATGCACCATCGTTATCGCGTAGAGTACCGATCTCCTCACGCAAGGCATTGACCTCATCACGTAACTCCCTTGACTCATCCCGTTGAGGTGGAGGTGGAGAACAGGGAGATAGGAGTCGTGGCATCTTTGCCGGTCGCCTATCATGAGGTGATGGTGGAGAAGAGGCTCGATGATGTGACGGGATAGGTGATGGCTCTCGTTCTAGAGGTGTATAGTCGGGTCGATCGGGTGATGGCTCTAGGTGAGGTGATGGCTCTCGAATTGGAGGAAGTGGATGCTGCTCATCATCCGTGCCATCAAAAAAACTCTGACTAGCTTGCCACCAATCAGTGGCAAGCTCTTCCTCCGTGGGTGTCAGTCTTTGTAATGGAATGTTGGCCTCCTAAATATAAAAACTCAAACAAAGTTAAACGTCTACTATTAAAACTTGTTTATATATTATATGAAAGTATTTGTGTTAACTTACATTATTTATTGTCGCATATGGTATTAAGTCTTCCCAATCCAACAGAGTTTTCCTCTTCCAGGAAATAGCCCTGGGAATATCATTTGACGTTTTTATTGCATATGTATGCATGCTGGGGAAAGCCTCGAATATCCAAATCTACAAACAATATAATAACAAAATTAGTAATTGTTAAATAATTAATTATAATTTTAGAAACATTATATAGAAATTCTTACCTTAAAGGCCCAAACAAAGCCTGACAAAGTGTATTTGGACCCATCGCCCCGCAAACTTTTGCGGTCATCAAAGGCAGACGACAACTTAGTCCAGGTAGCTTTCCATATATACGAACCCCACGGAAACAGATTCCATGCATTCAGGTCCTCTACCAATATTATTAGCTCCCGATGAATAGGTTGTCTGGCCTCTCTGCCTAAAAAGCCGGCATACACAAGTAGTAGAAGGCATACTCGGACAACATCGACGTCATCCATCCGAGTGAAACCAGCTTTCTTATTAAACAATTTCTTCAGGTCGTCGACATGTAGGTTCGGCTTCTCCATTGACTCATCCGGAAAAACCCGGGATAACCATGATGGGCGGGCGATATGACGAGTGTACCGGCCTACATCATCGTGTCCGAATCGTAGACCAGTGATTAAGCAGAACTCCTTCCGCCCAAAACAAGTATACGCTGGTGGAAAATGAAACCATATCTCTTCCTCACCACATTGTATACTGTCGGGTAGATTTGATGTCATGGTCTGAAGCCACAAATGGGTCAAATTAGCATCTCCACCCGGATGCTGTACTCTCAGCCATGGCCCGAAGCAGGTTTCCTCAAACAATTGTCTTTGAGCAGGTGAAAGCTTCGAAGCAATTGTAGTGGCCAGGCTGACTTTATTTCTCAAGGTCAATTGAGCCGAAAAAATTTCTAAAAAACAATAAACATACCAAGTTAGATATACCAAAAACTACACTGTGAAGATATACCAAAAACAATAAACATAAAAAGTAGTAGTTTATTCTTGAAACTAAAATTTGCAACACTGTTTTGTCTTTTGGTTGAAATGAAAATCGCAACGAGAGAATCGCAACGCGAAATGAAAATCGCAACGAGAGAATCGCAACGCGAAATGAAAATCGCAACGAGAGAATCGCAACGCGAAATGAAAATCGCAATGCGATTTTGGTTTCGCGTTGCGATTCTCTCGTTGCGATTTTCATTTCGCGTTGCGATTATCTCGTTGCGATTTCATTTCTCTCGTTGCGACAGTCATTCTCGTTGCGATTTTCATTTATCTCGTTGCGACTCTTCTGCAAATTGAAACTTGAATGGATTGCATTACTTCAACCAAAAGACAGAACAAAGACAAAGACAAATACTAACTTGAAAATCGCAACGAGAGAATAGCAACGCGAAATGAAAATCGCAACGACAGAATCGTAACGCGAAATGAAATCTAAGTGAAATGGTTAATCTATTATTGAAATGACCAGTAAACTTATCATCAGTTTCAATATGAAAAACCTACAATAATGCAAACATTTCAAAATAAAAATAATTAAAAAAACTAACCCTCGGAGGTTGATTTTCCATTTCTGAATATTGTGAGGGATTTCTGACCGTGAATGGTTGTGAGGGATTTCGCCGGAGATGGGGACGGAAATCTTCGGAGATGGGGACGGATTTCTTCTCCGTAGAGAGTGAGAGATGGAGATGGGACTGAGTTGTGATTTTAGGTTTTAGGTTATGAGTTGCGATTACGGGATTTTGTCTTAATATTCGTTTTTGTAATTTGAAAATAAAATACGCGTAGCGATTATAATGGCGCTTTAAATATCGCGTTGCGATTTACGGATACGCGTTGCGATTTTATGTATTATCGTTACGATTTACGGATACGCGTTGCGATATACGGATACACGTTGCGATTTACGGATACGCGTTGCGATTTATGTGTTCGCGTTGCGATTTTCATATTCGCGTTGCGATTTTGGAAAATCGCAATGCGAATTTGTACTATCGCATTGCGATTTTCAAGAATCGCGTTGCGATTTTGGAAACTGATTTGCGATTCTGGGGATCGCGTTGCGATTTTGTTGGTCATTTTGGCAAATCCAAAAAAAGTTGGTTAAAATCGTATATTATAACTTTTTTTTGGTCACTGAGGCGATTTTCTCTATTATTGCCAGTAGGTGAAGGTTTCCATTTATTCGTTGACCTGTTTGATATTAATTTTAAAATATGATTTTTTAAAAAGTACTATAAGCAAATACTTTTAAAACTAGAAATTTAAGCCATTGAAATTAAGTTAGAAAATCATTTTTTCAACTATGATTTTAAATCAATTTTTGGATATTCAGCATTGTTTATGGGATAAAAAATATCACTTTTTCATTACCAAAAAACATTCTCAAACTGGATAACCAACTATGTACCATATTGAACATTAAGTCAAAATACGGACACCATTTTTTTCATTATCCCCTTCTCATTATTAACATTGTTTATTTATTCAACCATATATAAGTTGTGCGGTTTCAACAAGCTCTAACACAATCCCACAATCGCACACGTTAAAGGTTCTTTTTTTTGCAACATCACACAAGGGGCTCTTTTGATGCTTTCATGGAAGCAGCACAACTGATCCAGATGTTCTCCGATTCTCGAGGTCTTCGTGTGCTTGCGCAGCTTGTGACAAAGGATACTTGTGATTCACCCGAGCCCGTAAAACACTCGATGCAACGTTAGCAAACACCTCCCCAGCGGTTTTGAGCAGCTCATCCCGAGTAGCCGTGTATTGCATCAGGGAAGGCCTAGTCAAGAACAAAGACTTAGCTGCAAGTGCAGACAATGGAACCGGATCCGGTGTACCGGAAGACTGTCCAAAGTTCACCATATAGCCACGAGACTTTAAGCATGCCAAGGATCCCTAACAAAATATAACTTTTAGTAGTGACTAGACAATAGAGCATCATCTCGAAGGAGCAATCGAAGTTCAAGGGCACACCTTATAATACGAAAATTGATATTCAATTACGGGTATAGGAATGAAAACCGTGATTACCTGAAAGGTATCTTTTCCTACAGAATCGTAGACAACTTCCACTCCCTTGCCTGATGTTATATCATTGACACGGGCAACAAAGTCCTCATCCTTGTAAATTATGACATGGTGACATCCATCTTCCTTTGCTTGAGCCGCCTTCTCTTTGGTTGAGACAGTTCCGATGACAGTGGCACCAAGTGCGTTTGCCCACTGGCATAATAAAGACCCAACCCCACCAGCTGCTGCATGAACAAGAACCGTGTGTCCAGATTCAACCTGTATTGCATGATATTGTAATAAAGAGAAATCGAGGATTATTGTCAAGATAAAGAGAACAACCGATCAACTCTATACCATGATTATAATTATGAACAACTCATTTCCATGCAGCCTACCTTGAAGCATCGACGTACTAGATAATGGGCGGTCATACCCTTCAGCATGATGGATGCTGCGATAATAGGGTCAACCGAAGGAGGAACTGGCACAACTTTGTCTGCTGGAAGAATCTGCTCCTCAGCATATGCACCCATAGGATTACCAGCATAAGCTACAATATCTCCAACTTTCCTGCCGGTAAGTCCAGGTCCCACAGCAATCACCTCTCCAACAGCTTCCATACCTGTAATTAAAGAAGGGAAGAAAAATTATTTCCGTAATAACTATTACGGGCGAAGATTCGTACTAACATTGTAAACACATCCTTTTTCCAATCCAAGGGGTCGGCTACTATGCTATTGAATGGGGAAAATCTCACTTCAAATTCAGAGGTAAATTAGTGCATCCTACAGATGCAGAAAACTTTCATGCTATTCAAAGTTGACGACTAAAACTAACGCAGAATGACGTTTCATAACCTTTGAATTCAGATTTGAATACAAGTTTTATATAGATTGCTTCTGATATCAAAAGTTCCATTGGTTAAAATAGTCATAACATATTCCCGATCCATAAAAGGGAGAGTTTGGGTTTAAAGATTGAATTTAAAGATTAATTGTGTTGATCATCATATTGAAGACCGAAATTATAAATCTTTGACAACTATGGTAAAGTTAGATGAGTAAATGAAATCGTGATAACAGAATAAGATTAACAACTGATCATAAGAGTAATGCACGAGAATTTACAAACTTCTATGCTACTCTCTTCATCTCCGGTTAAATGTTAACTTGGCTATTTGTCTTGCAATTGCATAATCTGTTCAAAGAAAGTAACTCTAAAATTCGAGTGAAAAGAGTCAAAGGGATATAATTTGGATAATACTCAATAAGCAAAACTACAAAGGCCACCTGCATATTAACTAATCTACAAAACACATCTTATATCTCATCAGCCTGGAAAATTCTGCTCTTCTCGTACCGTAAACTTTCACACAATTCAAACAAACCTGGAGTGAAGGGCATGGTAGGAGCCTTATAAACTCCTTTCCGGAAGTAGATATCGATGAAATTAAGTCCAACAGCTTTGTTTTTAATACGAATCTCTCCCTCCTTGGGTTCCCCAAGTTCAACATCCTCCCATTTAAGGACCTATCATCATCGTGGGTAGAGTATAAGTAAAAATGGCAAACAAATGAGTTTCCATTGAATCAATTCAAGCAAATCATATTTGTAAACAGTCCAACCTAAAGAGCTCAAATTATAAATTCTCAGGATATAAAGAACATTCACAATAAGATAATGATCCATCTTTATCAAACACTTAACATTCTAAAAACAAAGAATCATTCGATCAAAATTAAATAAAAATAAGGGCAAAAACCCCAAGCTGCTAAGCATGAGAAACAACAAAAGCAAAAAATTTTAATATCCTGATTAAGAACTATTCAATCAAACTCTTACAAATTCTAATAGTATGAGAAGAGCAAACAGTTAACTTTCTTAAAAAAAACCCAGAAACATTCAATCAAAATTAAATAAAAATAAGGGCAAAAATCCCAAGAAGCTAAGCATGAGAAACAACAAAAGCAAAGATATTCAATCCCTGATGAAAGAACCATTCCATCAAAATCGTACAAAATCTAATAGCATGAGAAGATCAAACAGTTAACTTTCTAAAAAAAACCCAGAATAATTCAATCGAAATTAAGAAAAAAGGACAAAATAGCAAGTAGCAAATCATGAGAAACAACAATAGCAAAGATCTTCAATCCCCTGATGAAAGAACAATTCAATCAAACTCGTTCAAATTCTAATAGCATGAGAAGAGCAAACAATTAATTTTCTAAAAAAACCATAATAATTCAATCGAAATTAAGCAAAAAGAAGGACAAAATAGCATGTAGCAAATAATGAAAAACAACAAAAGCAAAGATCTTCAATCCCCTGATGAAAGAACAATTCAATCAAACTCCTACAAATTCTAATAGAATGAGAAGATCAAAGAGTTAACTTTCTAGAAAAAAACCAGAATAATTCAATCGAAATGAAGCAAGAAGGAGCAAGTAGCAAATAATGAGAAACAACAACAGCAAAGATTCTTAATTTTCAAAAGATCCATTCAATCAAACTCATACAAGTTCTAAGAGCAAATTAATAAAGCATTAGTATGGGAAAGAAAGGAAGACCTCAGGTCCACCGAGTTCATGAACCCTGATAGCTTTGACCATCTTTGCCGGTTGTACTTTAGCTGCTGCTTCAGTAGTCAGTGCCTTGGCTATTACCGATTTGCTCCTGGGAGTGTAAGATAAAGCTGAGTTCTGTACGGTGGTGGTGGTCAGATTTAGCACCCAAAATGTTGTTGTTGAGACATTGAAAGAATGCGGAATAAAGCGAAGGAAATGCAAGCGGTGATTCTGGAACCCAAGTTTTAAGTGGCCCATTAGGTTGACGTTCGTGAGTCTGACTCGTTTAGCTTACATAATGCCTGTCGTCTTCAAAGCGCCGTAGCAATTATAATAGGTTTAAACTTTAAAAACGAACACAGTAAATTACATATTTAATACCTAAATTATTATTTTTATTTCGTTTTGATATCTAACCTTATTTTTTAAAAACAATGCCTAACTTTAATTTAGGTTTTAATTTGATACTCATTGCTAAAAAATCAGAAATATGTGGTATTTTTTTTTAAAAAAATTCAATGACGAAATGACATTATCTTATAGTGAAGCATCAACACCATTGTTAAATTTTTAACGAATGGTACCAAATTAAAACTTAAACTAAATATTAAGTATGATTTCAAAAAAAAATTTAAATACTAAAATAGAACAAAAATAATAGTTTAGATACTAGAATAGTATTTTTTTTCAATATTTAATTTATTAATTTCTTTTCCATCTTCTTAGTTAATAATGGGAGATGACATAGCCATTTAGGATAAAATTATATCATTAGTTATTTAATTTTAAATATTATTTTATTTTGATCATTAAATTATAAAAAAATTTTATCAAAATTTTTGATTTTTTTTATTATTAAATTATTAACAATATAATGATGCAACTATTATCTTCCTTTGTTATTTTTGACATTACTTTGTTACTTTTCACCATTAAAAGTTATAAAATAATTTTCGATTATCGGATATTGCTTTGTTGATTACTTTGATTATTAAAAGTTTCAAAACGATCGTCCAATTATTTGTATATTATAAATTCATCCTTTTTCGTTAAAAAATTGAGAATATTTGATATAGAAGTTAACATGTTGATTGAGATATGATAAAATATGATCCTAAAATTATTTTAGTTGTGTTTTGTGTATCGAATCTCCATTTACATTATGTGATCGAGCTAGTGCTTAAAATATTATACTAACGAATTAGTGTTTAAAAGCAACAACGGTGCCAGTAGACATCATTCAAATATGATTTTATCATATCTCAATTAATAAGTTAACATACAACTCAGTCGAGTGTTTTTTAAAGGAAAAAGATTATTTTAGATTATATGAATAATTGTGTGATCATTTTATAACTTTTAATAGTTTGATAACTCAATAAAAAATCGTCTTATAATTAGAAGACTATTTTATAATTTTTAATAATTATAGGACTCAACAAAATGATATCTTATAATCAATGAACCATTTATATATTGTACCTATTATTAATTGATTATTTTAAATTAAATTTTGTGAAATTAAGTGACTCTTTTAATATAATTTACTTTATTTATAAATGTCTAATCAAACACCTAATTTTAACATTACCTTTTCTGTTTCCAACAACACGTTACTGCCTTCTTCTTCGAAGGTTATTGTTTCAACAGGTTTTCCTTTCCCCTCTCCCATCTCCCAAGAAACGTACTTTTTTTCTATTTCCTTCCCTTTTTTTGGTTCTCCGTCTTCAATTCAATACCATACCCAGACTTTCTTTTTTCTTCAATTCACTGTTTTTATCATGCTCTTCTTCAAACTTTTCCTCCACTTTCTCTCACGATACCACCTTCAACCCCCATCTTCTCCCCAGACCATTGATCATTCAATACCCAGAAGGTATCGAGACCCAGATTCACGAATTCGAAGATGAGCTCAAGTTACCGTGTACGAGCTGGAGATTTTCTGTTGAAGTCAACAATTTGAGTCCTTGGAAGACGATTCCCGAGGAATGTCTGGGGTATATTAAAGATTACATGACTGGTCGTGGCTATAAAATGGACTTCAATTCACTGTTTTTTCATGCTCTTCTTCAAACTTTTCCTCCACTTTCTCTCACGATACCACCTTCAACCCCCATCTTCTCCCCAGACCATTGATCATTCAATACCCAGAAGGTATCGAGACCCAGATTCACGAATTCGAAGATGAGCTCAAGTTACCGTGTACGAGCTGGAGATTTTCTGTTGAAGTCAACAATTTGAGTCCTTGGAAGACGATTCCCGAGGAATGTCTGGGGTATATTAAAGATTACATGACTGGTCGTGGCTATAAAATGGACATCGATAGGGTTTCAGACGAGGCAGGAGTTTACGCCAAGAGCCTGGAGCTGAGTGGAGATGGGAAAGATGTTTGGATTTTCGATATTGATGATACTTTGTTATCCAATCTCCCTTACTACGTTGAGCATGGTTATTGATAAGCTTTTAATTTGGTCGGGTTCCTTTCTTTCCCAATTTTCATGAACTTGTTTGGTTGCTAAGAGATTGGTAATCTTCCTTACAATGTTGTGTTGCGTTTGTGCGAGTCTAAATGGTGGTTTTCATTTAAGGTGATTATTTGATCGAATCAAATTAAAAATTTTCGAGTTGAGTTGAAAATTATAACTCAAGTTAAAGTTTATGTAATTCGAGTTGATGTTTAAATGTAATTATAATCATATGTGATGTACATATATCATATAGAGTTGAGACTTGAATTTTGAAATATTTTAGTTCTATTTTATACCTGACTCGAATTTGAATTTTATTTTTGAGTCAAATCGAATTTTCAACATTGAGTCAAAAATTTGATTTTTTTTGAATCGAGTTTTGCTCACTGTTAGTTTCATTGACAATTTTACAACTTGGAGGTTTTTGATCCTATAGAGTTTGATAAGTGGGTTCAAAGGGGAATGGCACCAGTAATAGAACCCAGCTTCAAGTTTTATGAGAAAGTTTTAGATTTGGGGTTTAAAGTGTTTTTACTAATCGGTCGAAGTGAACATCACAGATTGATTACGATTGAAAATTTGACAAAAGCAGGGTTTCGAAGATGGGACAAGCTTATATTAAGGTAAACATCTTACCTCTTTTGATTGCTCACTTATACATCATTTTAGGTGACTTGTTGTTGCACTGCCATTCTGTTTTCATGGAGTTCTACTTGTTGGTGCTTTGATGTTAGTTTCTGTTGAGTTAATCGATCGACAAATATGGCCAAGAGGGGGGTGAATTGGTAATTAAAAATTTCGGTGGAAGCTTTTGTAGAAAATTGAAAGTAATTGCGCAGCGATTTAGAGTGGTTCGACTTTGTCAACCAAAGTCTACGTCCACTACCTTAACTATCCACACTAAGGATTTTCCACAAATTCACTAATTTGTCTTTCTTTTGAGGACAAAGAGTAACCTTACAAATCCCTCAAGAATTATACCCCAAATTCTTGAGAACACACTCTCTCAAAGAAAACAATACAAATTTTGCAAACTTACAAGAAAATCCTCACAAGGCAAGATGTTTGCACAATTCTAGAACAAAGAAAGAACACTCAAGAATAATACAATTGAGCACAATAAGTGTTCTTGAAAGCAACAATGAATATTGAATGAAATAGGCTTGAAAATGCTCAAACTTGAGGTTTGATAATTTCTCTTTGATTCTCTCTTGATTCTTGTTTCATGTTATATCTTCTTATTGATCAATGGCTTCTAAGCTTGTTTAAATACTCCTTCAATTGATTCTAGACGTTGGAAATGATTAGTGGAGTCAATAGAGCCTTATTGATCAATAAGGCTAGTGCATCGGTACACTATGTGTAAATTCAAATATTTCGACCGTTGGACCCTTAGTGCATCGGTGCACTAAGAATACATCGATGCACAAAATGCATTCGATGTTTCAAACAAGTCTGAATGCATCGATGCATGGTCTGTGCATCGATGCATAAAATGCATTCGATGTTTTCATAAAACCTGAGTGTATCGATGCATGGTAGTGCATCGATGCATAAAATGCATTCGATATGGTGAGTGCATCGATGCATCAATGAGTGCATCGGTGCATCCCTTCACAAATTTTATTTTTGGATCGTTTTTGGTTCGAAATACTTTGTGAAAATTATTTCAAAATTATTTGAAGTATAAAACACAATTTTACACAATAGTAAGGATTGAAATTGAACTTTGAAAGACTTGGAGTAATATTTTGATATTTGAGTAATTAAATCGAATATACTTAGAAAATCATTTGCAAAATCTTAAAATTCATTTAACTTAATTTGTTATATCGAAACATCAAAATGTTTTCAACAATCTCCCCCTTTTTTATATAACAAAACATTTTAGTAATTTTATAATTTTCTAATTCAAAATAGATTTTGAAATCAAGTTTGAAAAATTACTCCCCCTTACTTTAACACTTCTCCCCCTTTTTGTTAAATCAAAAAGATTCTAAAACGTTTGGAACAATGTTTTGAAAAGCATAGCCAATTGATTATAACTTAAGCTGCTAAGATCAAAGATCGAGAGAAATGTTAGCCATTAGTTTCATAATTTAATATTCATAAATAGACGAATGTGATATGGAAAAATTGGTCATATGCTAGATGATGCAAAAAACTAATAAACCAATATAAGTTCAACAATCAAATATATAAATATAAGTTCAAATATTCAAGCATCCAAACCATAATTCCAAACAAATTCAAACATTCAAAGTAAAACAATCCAAAAACAGTAAAATGTTTATCAAACCAAGTTCTAAATGCAACTCAAACAAAATCAAAACAAGACAAGATCTAGTCGTCCATAGGAGGATCGAGAGAAGGAGGATAATGTGCTCGCAGTTCAAGCGTAAGAGCATCCATACGTTCACGCATCTCCTGTTGGAATTCAGTCAGCTGAGACTCCATGAAAGCAAACCTCAGATCAAATGACTCCATAAATGTTCAAAAATATGGAGGCATTTGTCCCTCATGTTGTGCCGGTTCCGGTGCCAGAGGATCATCGTTGGGTATTTCCTCATCAATATCTTGCATGAGCTGCTGAAGTTCAGGATCATCGTCTGCAGTCGGAGGAGGTGGAGCACGAGAAGAACTAGGAGCAGAAGGAGCTCGTGACGAACTGGCTCCCGGAGTTTGCTTATTGGGTCGAAAGACCCACTGACCAGTTTCCTCGTCTTGTTTTCAATCAACTTTCTTCAAAGAGGTGAGATTGATTTGATTTTGAAGAGGAATTGGATTGTCGAGAGAGACTCTAAGACGGAGTTTGATAAAAAGATTACTAAGTAGACACCCATAAACTAAAGTTTCTACATGTTTGGATGGGATTACATTTATGATATCTACTAGTTCACTAAAAATGATGTGTGGCAAATTTATTTTTCTATTATGCTGGATACAATGCATCCACCATAAATCCCTGACACGAAGAGTGGAGTACCTACCTTCGGATGATCGAAACCACCAAGAGATCATTAAATGTAGAAAATGATCATGGTGTGTACATAAGGTATTAACATTAGCATTAGGAAGATAGGGATATGTCACTGTTTCTTTCTCATTATATAAACCATTGTCATCTAGCCCAAACTGTTTAGCTATAGCGTCGGGGTCAATATGAATATATTGTCCTATAAGGTAGGATCTGATTCCTATAGTCCCACATTAACTCTCGTTTTGAATACATACCGCATTAGAGTAGAAAATGCGGACCAACTGATGATAGACAATAGGTTTAAGGTGAAACAGTTTATCAAACTTCCAGAATTTGAGAGTTGGTAGATATTCAAAGTTGATATCTACCATTGCTTGAACAGAGGGAATACGTTATTCCCGAATTTTGTATGATTGGAAAGAATTCATATACCTATGGTAGAGTTCTTCTCTATGACGACCAGGCATATTAAAACGGGAATTTAGAATAGTCATATTGGGATCATTTGGATGTGGAGGTTGAGGGGGAATATGATTAGGAGGTTGGTTAGAATGACTTGAAGAAGTATTAGGGCGTTTAGGGTTTGACATGGTTTAAGGAATTGGAATTAGGAATGTAACATGCAATTAAAACACATGTATGAAAAATAATCAATCCCAAAACTCAATTGAGTCCTCAATAATTCAAGGTTCTCTAAATCAAATCCTAATGGGCATAATTTTGAAACTATTTGAAAATAACATTGGAAATATCATAATACATATAGTTTTCATGAAAATAATACAATTAAATCAAAAACATCAATAAGTTTCAAAAATAATTTTTTTTCGAAAATTTATAGACAATGTTGAAAAATTGTTTGTTTTTGACGAAATTGATTGTAATAATGTTCATCCTAGAACTAATCTAAACTAGTTCTAAAATCAAAATTTGATAAATTAGAGATTTTTGGAAAAATACCTTGAAAAATTCGGATTGAGTGGAATGTGATATTGTTTTGCACGATTTAATGATGTTAGCATGACTGGAGTTGAATTATGAATGAATTCCGATAAAAAACGAAGGTTATGGAGTAGTTTTGAGAGAGAAGTGAGGGAGAGGAGCGACGACAGAGAGTTTAATAGGTTAAGGGATTGAGAAAAATGGATACAATTAGGCTTTTAAACCCAAAACCCGACGGATGCATCGATGCACACTCAAGGAGTGCATCGGTGCATCTTCATGATGTATCGATGCACATTCAAAGGGATACATCGATGCACTATCAGTGTATTGATGCATTATGCACAAAAATGTCAAAAAATTCGTTTTAAACACTCAAAATGCTAAATTAATTAGCTATAGTGGTACTGGCAATTCATATATTGAAAATTAATCATGTTCAATCAATCAATTTAATCCTTAAACTATATTTGAACATAAAATTAATTTTCACCAAAGAACATAAACTCCCCCTAACTAATAACAAAGAATGCAATAAAAAATTATTATTATAAGCATTTTTCATTTATTCTTAAAAGTGCTAAAATTAATTTAAACACTAAGTGAGGAAATATCAGTTAAACCTAATTCTCTTCTAAGTGTCCAAAGTCTTTCTTTATCTAAAGGTTTTGTAAAAATATCTGCTAATTGGTGCAAAGTATCAACAAATTCTAGAACTACATATTCCTTAGTGACATGGTCTCTAATGAAGTGATGTCTAATTTTAATGTGTTTAGTTCTAGAGTGTTGGATGAGATTTTAGTGAGACAAATAGCACTAGTATTGTCACACTTGATAGGAATGGTACCTACTTCAATTTCATAATAAAAAAGTTGTTGTTTCATCTATAAAACTTGTGCACAACAACTACCGGCTGAAATGTATTCCGCTTCAGTGGTAGATAATGCAACACAATTTTGTTTCTTTGAAAACCAAGAAATCAACATATTTCCAAGGAATTAGCAAGTACCGGAGGTGCTTTTCCTATCTAATTTGCATCCTCTATAATCCACATCAGAGAAGGCATGCAAGCTAAAGCTAGAGTCTCTAGGATACCAAAGTCCTAACTAGGAGTGTCCTTAAGGTATCTAAAGATTCTCTTAACATCTAGTAAATGTGATTCCTTAGGGCATGATTGAAATCTAACACATAAGCAAACACTAAACATAATGTCCGGTCTACTTGCGGTTAGATAAAACAAAGAGCCAATCATTGACCTATATAATTTAACATCCACACATTTACCTCCTTCATCTATGTCAAGCTTTGTTGATGAGCTCATTGGAGTGTCATGAGGTTTCCCATTTTCCAGTTCAAACTTCTTGAGCATATCCTTGACGTACTTAGCTTGATTAATGAAGATGACATCTTTTCTTTGCATGATTTGGAGTCCCAAGAAAAATGAGAGCTCCCCTATCATGATACATTCATCACAAGGTTCACATCAAAGGAAGAAGTAATAACTCTTCCAAATGATCCACTCGTCCAAGCTTTGGAAAAGAAGATCAGAACAGCAGCAGACTTGCGACGACTTTTTGAATGGGATCCTGATCTTATTTGGTCGATATGTCTTCTGGAGATACAACCTTCTGTCTCTTATCTTTCCAACGGTTCTTGAATCGCATCAATCCGATATCGGGAACTCAAGATATGGTCATTTTA